ATTAGATCCTAAACCATGCTTTTGTTTCCTGTCTGTTTACTATGAAGAAAGTGCCGTCTTGAAAACTGTCTACCAGTTGTCAATTTTGCAGTAGCCCAAATTTCACTACAGTAACTTCAAGTTTATGCATAAATTACCACCCAGGCGAGTTGTCTGTACGATTGTTGTGACACTGTTCAACCAAAAACAATGCCCCTACGGCGTTTTGAAGATAAACACATTGTCAATCATTTGTGAAAATTTCAAAAAAAAAAGGTCAAAGCGTCTAAAAAGAAGCTGAGATAATTGCTAATTTGCATAACAATTCACTCAGTAAGAAGTTTGCTAATGCTCATAATTAAAATGGCTGTAACAGTTCCAAATTTAAATGTATTTTAGTTTTATTAAAAGTTAAATATAGTGCATAATATGGAGATCCCGTCATTTCTTTTTTTCACCATGTTTCTTTTTTATTATTTTTGTACAGCCTTGCTAAATCTTGCTAAGCATTCAAAAGAGAGAATGTTTGCACCTGTTATCTATATTTTAAAATCGTTTTTTTGAGTATGTTCCACTATTCACTATTCTACAAAATGTTAACAGTCTATAGCCAAGACTGTTTGGATAATAAAAAGCAACAAAAAAAATTCACTCCCAAGTGCCCACAAACCTGCATCTCTACCTTAAATAATCAATGTGTATATACATAATATTATACATATTGTTGCACACTGGCCACGTCACAGAGTCATACCCAAGTGTTTATGCAGTGGTGTGTACACGTATTATTTGGTTCATTTGTCTGACCATATCCCAGTTATTTGTGCAGTATGAGTGATTGACATGAGATGAATCCTCCCCTATAAAAGATATTTTGGTTTGCGCCGCAGTTGTTGTAGAGATGTCCGTGCTGAATGCACTATGAATCCATAGTCTTTTCCTGTCACAATATTTTAACTTTATTTATTTATTTATTTATTTATTTATTTAATTATTTATTTATTTATTTATTTATTTATTTATTTATTTATTTATTTATTTATTTATTTGTTTATTTGTTTAATTTATTTATTTAGGGAGTTGGGATTCTAGATATCAATGATGAGAACGGTCGAGAAGTATTAGATATCTTGCAGAACGAGTTTGGTGAGCACAGGGTGATATATGTTAATTGTGATGTTACGTCGAAGACTGACTTAGAAGGTATTTATTACCATTTCTGTTTAAAAACATTTTCGGAAGAGTTTATATTTTATACAACAAATAAACAAAAATACGCTAAATGGTCAAGATAGCAACACAATAAGTCCTACATACTATTTTAGGTCGCCCAAAAAATCAGTCTATTACTCGAGGTCATAGGAGAGTAATTGATAATAGATACTTCACATATACAAATAAATTATTATATTATTTTTTAGGTGCATTTGAAAAAGTGAAAACCCATTTTGGTAAACTGGATATTGTATGCAATAATGCTGGGATTCAGAATGAGGTCAACTGGGAGTTAACTCTAAACATTAATCTGGTACAGTTATTTATGTTTCTAAACTATACATTGTACATCAGTTAATCAGTTAAGACTAAATAAATGCTATTAATACATTTTTATGTTAATGTTTAGATGGGTACCATCAGAGGCACATATCTGGCACTTGAACACATGGGTGTAAACTATGGTGGCAGCGGTGGAATCGTTATCAACACGGCATCTATCGCGGGTAAGCACAAAGACTTGCCCATCTTGTGATGTTAAATATTTCGTTTTTAAAAATAAATTTTAAAATATGTTAAATTTTACTGTTATTATTGTGGCATCTCAAACAATGAAACATTTATACAGCAATTAACTACTAAGAATTATTGATTTATTATTGCAATTGGCATAAATACACTTCATTTTATATTCTAAGGTAATGGCCACCACGTTGAATTCCCATAGAAACGAAATCGGTGGATTATTTTTAGTTTGCTCACTAGCACATATTAGCTGTTAGTAGGCTATTGATTCCGGAGATTTCACCAAGTGTTCATGGGTAATTTGAGTGCGGAAAATCTATCTCTATCGACATTTTGATCGGTGCACAGCCCCTCCGACTTATGGGCAGGGTGATATGTGCATGGACATGAAACCGTTGAAAAGTTCACATGCAGTGCGTTATGTTGAAATGTGGGCGAATTTTACAATGGCCAAGCCATTTACCTTGCCATTTTATAGATTGTAAGAAATTTACTCCCATGATGCTCTGCTTCATTTATCTTTTTTAGCTCCGCTGCCGACTTTGTTGAGTGGAGCTCATCATATGTGATCGACCGTCGTCCGCGTTTTTACTTTTTCGGCTTAGTCTTGAAAACTACGAATATGATTGCATCGATACTTGGTGTGTATGTAGTTTGGCTAGATTGTTCAGTTCGTGATGAAATCTTCCACTCTCTGATTTAGATGAATATTTTTGTCATTTTTGGTAAAAAGTGATATTTTTGTCCTCTGATATTTTACATATAGGTACTTCAGGTGGCCTGGTCGCAGATTTCTTCATTTTGTGATGATATCTTCAATTTACTAATTCTGCTAATAGTGACTAACTGAACTGCACAACATAAATGCAGGACCGCATAACATAAGGGAGTAACTGAATAACATAAAGACGAAACTACATATAATATAAACGCGGGACTGCATAACATAACCACTTGATTGCATAACACAGGGGTAAAACTGTACAACATAAAGAAGAGACTACATAACACAAATACGGGACTACATAACATAAAAATGGAACAACATAACATCATAATAAAACATCACATAAGACAGTTACGGCGTTCCATATTGATTGGTTGAATAAGCTGTTTGGGGAGTTTTTGTTTTGTTAGCTGGCTTGACCAGTAAATATGACTTGGACCATTTGTTCAGGCGGATTAACATGCTTTAACACTAACAATCCCTGCCAACGACTCATGCAATGAAGCTTTGAAATTATCACAAATACGTTTATTGATAACTTACAAACATGTCACACTTTGCTCTGCAATTATGTTCAAACGAACCATTTAGAAATTGAGCAACGAGCTTATCTTATAGTTGGGTATTGTTGCCTGGATTTTCATGATATCAAGAGAACCATCAGTACAATCACTTTATAATTACGATATTAATTGTTGGAATAAACAAAATATTAATGGTTGGAGCCTTGACATATATTTGTTTTTCATGCTGCTCAAACAAAACAGTTTGTAATAGTAACTATTTTCTTAATTTCAGGCATAATGACAACCTCTCATTTACCAGTATATGGTGCATCGAAACATGGGATAGTGGCATTCACACGTAGCATTGCAGTAAGAGAATTTCTAAGTTGTATAGTGAATGTAAACGCGAGTTAGTGTCCACGACACAGTGTGAAAAAGTGATGATATATGGTATCCAGGTTCGAGATCGTTTATGTTCAAACTTACATTTCACAAAATGAAGATGGCAATTTGACTACACATATGTTATACTTTTTGCTTGATGTAAATTCTGATCTTTGTGAAACTCATCACAACCAAAACTAAACATTGAGGTAAACCATGTGACAAGTACATCATGTGATTTGATCGTGATCTGTTTCAGTGCCTGGCTGAGCTTTCTAACATCATAAAAGTAATCTAACCGACACATGTTAACGTTAGTGGGTGATATTTGAAATGTATATGCATTTCATTTTTACTGAATTTAAGGCAGTCCATTATTATATCTGCCTGTATGGCACAGCGTCATTAGTTCATATTATAGTGTGTGTTTTTATACTACCACGATTTTTTTATAATCACTACCAATTTCATATATCTATAAAGCCGAATATATAATATATCGTCAACAGAGCAACCGTACATTCAAAGAAAATAAAATCCGTGTGTCAGCTTTCTGTCCTGCCAAAGTGGATACACCAATACAAGACG